ATCACCATGAGTTCAAGGCCACTCTGGACTACAAAGTGAACTCGGTGTCAGCCTGAACTGCATAGTGAAACCCTGCTTCAAAAAGACAAAAATAAACAAATAAATGTGCTTCTTGTGAATGACATATAATTGGACTTTGATTTTTGATACACAGTGACAACCTCAGTTTTTCTTTAACTGATACTCTTTTGATCATAATATTACAGCGGCTACTGATATAGTTGGATTAATATTTACCATATTTGTTATGATTTTTCTGTTATTCCTTTTTTGTCTTCTATTAGCAGTTCTGACCATTTTACATAATTTTTTTCTCTCACATTTTGTATGTTCTTTTTTTTTTTAACTTTTATAATGGTTACCATCATGTTTCCTTTATATACTTAAAACTGACTCTAATTAATGTCCACCTTCAAATGGCGTCATATCATGTAACAGGTCATATAAGTACCTTATAATAACAAAATCTATTTTTTCCTCTTTCCTCTATTCTTCAGTATCATTTTTGCCATTCATTTAATTTAGCAGGAAAAAAAAGCATATCACTAAACTAGCCATTTTGTCCACTTACTTGACATACCTGAATTTTTTTGCTAATGGCTGATATTTTTTATGACATTTACCTCTTCTCCTTTTTCTGTATTCCTTTTTCACTGTTTCTTGTGTTTTTGAACTGATGGTTTACAATTTGCATCACAAAGTATTGCAATGTAATTTATGATGTGAGTGTGTCTTCTCAAAATTAATTTTCAATCATAATCATCATAAGAATTGTATTAGAAGGTGGGCCCTTTGGAAATTGATAAGGTCTACAGACAGACTCTATATGAAAGGGATTGCAGGCATTATAAGAAAAGGCTGAGGGAATCTCTAGTCCTTATTACCGTGTGACGTAACAATGAGAAGACAGTCCTCCCCAGGCAACAAATTAGCTGGTGCACTGACCTTGGACTTCCCAGTCCCCAGAAAGATGAGGGTCTCTATTTCATTCTAAACTACCTGGTTTTGGGATAGCAGCTCCTGTGGGCTAATACATATGCCTTAACACCTTATAATGATAGCCTTCCTTAGCTTTCTCTACTGTCTGTTCTAAAATCTGATTTAAAATTTTGTATAGTATGACTCTTTTCTTTCCATTTTGTTATTATCTTTTAAGAAAGAATGGTAAGACTGTTTTCTGCATATTTTATATACTTTGTCTTATAAACTTCATGCACTATCTTCAGGATTAGAACCTTTTTTAATTTAAGGAATTGTCTGCCTGTATGTGAGACTTTCTGTTATCTTTTTTGCAGCCTCTCTTTCTCTCTCTCTGTGTGTCCCTCTGTCTCTGTCTGTCTCATTTTCGTTCTATCTCTCTGTCTCTATCTCATTCTGTCTCTCTCTCTCTGTCCCTCTCTCCGAGAGGAATTCCTCTTCCTCAAAACCTTGCTCTTTTTTTTTTATTTAAAGAAAAGGAAATGAAAAAAAAATACATGGAGATAAAAAAAAAAGGGTAGAAATAATACTAAATTACAGACAAACAAAAGGTAAGAAATTGCCGGTTGATAAGTTACAAATTGTCATCTTCGAAATGGCTGTTCAGGTTATAGAATTAAAGTATTTAGAATGACATTCAAAAAAGTGACCCTACAAACCATTCTGCTCTCAGCATATGCAGAGATGGGGACGGCTATCACAAAGAGAATGAGAGATGCGATGGTAGTTGCTATTGTCTTCCCTAATTTGGAACTTGAGGACCTAAAAAGACTTCATCATCCTGTAATGATTTGATTAGTTCTATAATATGCAATAAGTATATAAAGTGGGTGAAGTTAGGGACAACTATTTGTAAGAAGCTAGAGACAGTTAGATAAGGAAGATCTCCAGTGGACTTGCTTTGAAATCTGTATTTCTTTAAATTGTTTTTTATTTTTTTTTAAATGTTCTGTTCTGATTTGATATGGTTAATCTTACCCTCTTTGAGATGTAAAACCTTGCTCTTTTGTCCTGAGTTCCCGTGCCCTGGTTGCATGGGAAGACCTGAAGGGGAGTCTCTTTCAGGCTGAGCACTAAGTGCTGAGGTAGAGAGGAGTGGACAGAAGATGAGGGTGAAGAGCAGCAGACACCAAGAAGCCACTTGTCACTCTGCACTGTGCCAAAGACTTCTCTAGCCAAGGTTTCCACAAACCCACAAGGGACAGATTGTCCTCTGCTACTGCAGGACTCCTTAGAGGTTTACCTCTGAAAGAAAGTGCCAAAGTTCAGTCAACCCTATTTTTTTTCTTTAGCCGTTTTGTTGGGCAGAACTTTTGAGCTATTGTGATTTTTTCTGGGAGGGCCTCTGTAGCTGATTCTTAGAAGTTACCACCAGTACCAACAATCAGAAGGAAGGTACTGATTGCCAGAGGCTGATTTCAATCACACAACTCTACTTGTAACAGCCAAAAATAATATTAGAGCTTTGTATTTTATTAGTGGGAGCAATTTAGTAGCTAAAGGGGAAAATGAAGATCAAATCTGGGAGTACTGAACCCAAGGACAAAGGTAAAGTTCAAGAAGGGCTTATTTCAAAACAGGAGTCTTTGAATGAATGCTAATAACTTCCTTTCTCATCTTAGAGCACAGTAAATGAATAAAGAATTTAATACTTTGAAACGCGAGTATATTTTACATTGTATTAAATGATTACATCAAGGAAACAATTTATGACAGAAGTTTGTCTTTTTAGGTAAAGCGCTTTGCAATTTGGAAAATTATCTGTCTCAAAACTACCTGCCAGAACAATGGTTCTGTTGAGCTCCACGTCTGCCTAAGTTGTGTCTACTGAGTCTATATTTATTTTTGGGCAACTCAAATTAGGCTGAAAAGATTTCACTGTGTTTAGGGCCCAAACTTTGTTTTCCTGGCATTTCCCATCCCAAACTATCATTATTCCTGTTTCCAGTAATCCATACTAGAAAACTGGGAAAAAAACTGGAATCTTGATTTTCCGTTTTTGTTACAAAATGTGGTATTCCTCTTAAATCTCTTCCCAACTGTGTCTGAAGACATTTTTTTTTCTTTTTCTATCTGTATTCATCACCTAAAAAATATTCTTTGAATTCAGGTTTCTTGTAGATTTCTTTGCAGTAAGCTGATATATAGACATATATCTACATATATATATATATGACAGATACATAGCTATATATATATGTAGTATATAGATATATATCTATATATGTATACTATATATATATATATATATGTCTAATGTCTATCAGAATTAGCCCATAAAATTTAATGCCTTTATATTACATTTAAAAGATTAGCCTCCCAATATTTGGAATATTTTTACATTTTCATATTTCTATCTTGATGCTGTATCAAGTAGATTTTCTTTCTGTTTTTCAAACGTACTGGTTCTCTACACTGTCAGTAACTTTCTGCATAGTTCTCATTTTAAATCTATTATTTATTTTTCAATTTATAAACTATTACCTCCTCAGATATCACATCTATAAATACTTTAATGTATGCAGACAGAATTAATGACTTTTCTCTCTAAAATTTTTTGTGGTACTGAGGATTGAACTCAGGACTTTGTGCACACTTAGGCAAGCACTCTACCACTCTACCACTGGGGAGCAACATCCCCAGCCACACTCTATATACTTCTTAGCATAATAAATTTGTACCGAGTAAGTATTGTGGTAATACATATGACAGTCTATCTTGTTTCCTGCACCCATGCAATTGTTAATTCTTTTACAGCATTTATTATGTCTTGGTTTTTACTCTCCTTGTTTTTACATACTCATTCCAACTCCATCACTTAGCAGACTGCCATATTGAAGTTATTCAATAAATGTTTGCTGAGTGAGGCAATCAGGGTTCAGATAAGTTCAGCAACACTGCAACCTGAAGTGGAAACCTGAAGATGGCCTTTGACTTTAAGCCCAGAACTTTGGTGATAATAAATAACTGACCTTCCACGATAACAGGTAAACACAGACTTTACCTCTTAGTTCAATGTTTGTCTTTTCTTCCTAGTAATCAGGTGATTACAAACATTTGTGCCTTTGTTTTGAAAACCCTCAAAAGTACTTTATCCTTATGCTACCTGTATTCTATGACCTATTATAAGGAAGATTTTAACTTTCTTCTTTCTTTGGCATTTTGTTAAGCTCTGAGAAATTCATTATATTGCTTTTTCTCTGTATTTAAGTGTTACATTAAGAACAGGGTTAGTAGGAGTTACAGTGATAACCTAAGGAAACATCATCAACGTAACTGACTCATTTCATACTATCTTAAAATCCTAACTCATTGGAGAGAGCTTACTATGCTGGTTAAGTTTGTGTCTATGACCCTCTTGTCATTTGTAGAATCAATTTAGGATTTTACTAAGTAGGATTTTACTGTGAGAATTTTGACTCTGCATCTGTTTTATCTGAAGCTAGCATTTCTTTAAAGATTAAAGCCACAGATAATATAAAACCTCTCTCTGAATTTTTTGAAAGCTTCTGGTAGGACTGGACTCTGGTTATTCTTGTGTCTGCTTTCATAAGATTTCCTGATGATTTCTGAAATTTGTACCTCCTTGATTTCCATCCTAAGAGTTTCATAGTCAGTATTTATTTTTCTTTTTCAGCTGAACTTCTTGAAACACTGACTCTGAGAATGTCCTGCCACTCGCCTCTGCTGGCCTGGGCTATCCACCGGAATATAGAGAGTTCTCATGTCCAATTGAGAACGTTGTCCAGCTTGTTATAAATCAGTGATATTAGCTTAAAATAAAACTGTAAATACATTTGCTCAAATAATCTGATGCTGTGACCAACTTATGAAATGCTTTAACTCTACAGCCAATATACAGTAAAATGACTGAGAACTACCAATTGCTATTGGAGAATAACAGATATGCTTTTTATGATAAAACAGCATTTTGGAAAAATTGTTTTAATTTTATATAACTATAAACATTATGTATGTAGTCCTTTGATTTTTTTCCCCCTGTTCTTTCTGCTTTTTCTTAGATGTTCTTGGCAGCTCTGTCCTTCAGCGTTTTTTGTAGATTGATAAGTGGGATCAGTATGAAAACTGCCATTACTCATATTGAAAGGAGATTTGACCTACCCTCTTCCGTTGCTGGTTTCATTGATGGAGGCTTTGAGATGGGTAACTTTTATTTGTATTTAAATAATCACATGTGCAGAGATAATACTGTTCACGTATTCTATATCTCTAATTCTCAGCAAGGGTATTTTTAACCTTCCAGCTAACTTGGCAATATATGCAGACAGCTTTTTTTTTTTTTTTTTTTCCATAACTGGGAAGTGTGCTGTTAGCACCTGGGGTAGAATACAGGGATACTTTTAAGCATCCTTCAGTGTACAAGAAGGACCCCAACAATGAAGAATTATCTAGCTCCTAATGGCAGCAGTTAGCACTTAACTAGCAGTTAGGACATTGAAAAAGTCTGATCTCCCACAGAATCGCTGCTTTCACACTAACACACTATGAGTCTTTGACCTGCCTCTCAAGATGGCCAAATGTGAAGAAAACCAAGAGACAACCATGACACTGCAGTTTGGGGAGAACAGAACAGTTTTGGATCGATGTGTTAGATTTATAGTATTTTAAGATTTGGAGTTGTTTCTGTTGTGTTCATTTTAATTTTAATGTTTTCTTCCACAACGATGAAGGTTTATATAACTGTAAATTTTGTCTTTAATGTTATGAGTTTGTACTGCATTAATCATCTTACGTCACTAGGACAAAATACCTGCAAAAATTAGCTTAGTGAGAAAATGTTTACTTTGGCTCATGATTTCAAAGATCTCAGTTTATGGTAAGCCAACTCCATTGCTTTTAGACCTATAACAAGGCACAGCTATCACAGCAGAAGTGTGTGGTGGAAGAAAGCTGCTCACCTCATGCAAGCCAGGGACTGTAGAGTGCTGGTGCTTTTGGTTCCACCCAGAGCCCCACCCTATTGGATAAGGTTGCCAGCGTTCAGGTTAAATCTCCCGCTTTGGTTTGCTGTCCTACATGCCAATCATCTCTAACAACCCTGAAGCAGGCTTTACTAATCTACTGGGCACTTCTCAATGCAATCAGGTTGTCACTCAAGACTAATCATCACAGTAACTTATTATCTCTACTCATTGTTTCTTCTCTATTTCATTTTTAATTATTTGGAGAAGCTCCCACATTAGGTCTGTCATACACATGTCAAATATTTTAAGTGTGCCATCTATCATTTTTTAAAACACAAACCATTTTAAAAGTAATTGCGTAAGAAAGATGTATCTAAATTTTCCTTTTAATTCTGAATTTTGTAATTCAGAAGATACTATATCCTACATATGTTTCATTCTTCCACTTACCAGGCTTACTGAAAGCATATAGAATTTTAAAATTAGAATATGATTAGCTTTTTAAAATTATTTTTATTTTTTGTTAGCGTATTTTTGCAATACATATATTGCTATAGTGACATTCATTTTGCAAAATTAGTATAGACTTATAATACAACTTGATCATTTTCAGTCTCTACTTTCTCTCCCTTGGCTACTCCCTCCTTTTAATGATCTTCCAGACTCCAAAAAGAATACCTTTTGTCTCATGAGATTTGAAGTTTAATTCTTTCTATGTCTCTTTATCAATAAATTAATGTTAATATTTTTGCCAAGTTTTACACCTGTTTAATGGAAATTATTTGAAGAACATTAGAGTTACTTTTCTTATCTCTGATTCTTGATTTTTGTAGCTTCTAGTGTCTTCTTTAGTTGTCTGGAGTATATTTTCAAGTAGAAATTATTTCCAGAAAGATCTGAATGCATGGCTTTTTTTCTGATCCCCTGCCTATTGGAAATGTGTTTATTTTACTGTCTCATGCAAGTATTAATTTGGATATGGGATTCAAAATATTTTTATTAGAACATTTAAGACATTTGTGCCTGTTTTATAAGTCAATGTTTAATGTGAGAAATTGTTACCAATATGATTCCCTGCACTGATATGTATCTCTTCTCTCTTCTTGAAATTTTACCATATTCATATTCAAATTACCATAATTCAAATTACCATCTATTCATAATTTTCCTTTTACATTATTTCCTCTGAAAATAGAAGAATTTTCCATTTGCTTGTGTAAGATTGTTTAGTTAGGACATTTATTTTTTGTTTCTTTTTATTCTATTCCATTTTTTATTTCTTTCCTATTAGACATCTCTAAAACAAGTTAAATTTTCTAGATATTTAACTTTTTTTCTTTCTAAATGTTTACCTTCTTTTAATGTTCCAGCCATCTTCTCTGCTGTTATCTTTTCTTATAAAATTCTTAATTATACATTTTTTTCTATAATTTGAAAAATCAATAACATACTTTATTTTGCTATTATTTTTAGTCTTCCAATTCTTATTTTACAGAAGCAACCTGTTCTAATAGCTCTAGAGATCCCAACTGTAGTTTTTCAAAATTTCTTCATTTTTTGTTTTAATTTTTGTTTATTAATTTATGTCCTTAATTATCTGCCAGATCATTTTGGTGCTTTGCTGTTACATTTTTAAATCAAATTTCCAGTAATTCTTGGTTGCCATCTGTTCATTGTAATAATATGTATCTCCAGATGGCGCAGGATTTTTGGTGATTCACTCCACTTAAATGCTCATTTCTTTTTTTAACCTAAATAATTTATATTTACCTTTGTATCTCAAGCGGCCTCTTTTTCTGGAAGCTTTCTGGAGGGCTTTAACTTTTTAAAATTCTCTCTCTGGTCTAATAGCAACTGTGTCTATCTGCCTATTTTTACCACAGCCTATTTATAGAAAATATTCTAAGGACAAATACCATCACTTATTCTTTTTAAATGATTCTGGCTCCAAACACCATGACAGATACCTAATAGAAATTTAAAAAATAGTACAAACAAATGATTACATGCATTCACAAATACCTTTCCCTGAGTCAAGATGTTCTACTCCAACTTTGACTACCTCAGTACTAGTCAACTCCAAATTCTTCACTAAAGTTTCACTTCACTAATACTACCAAGTGATTCAAGAGTTTTCATTAATGTTGAATACTGATTTGCAAACACAAACACAATGCACAAACTTTATGTGCTTTCTTACACTATTTGAAAAATGAAAACTGTTTTACTTAGGCCCCATAACATACAACTCTTTTCTGAGACCGGGTCTCACATTGTAGTTCAGGCTGACCTTGAAATCAGTTTATAGCCTAGGCTGGCCTTGAACTCATGAAAAATCTTCCTACCTCACCCTTCTGAGTGCTGGGGTTACAGGAGTACACAACTTTTTAATCAGTTTTACTGTAGTTCACCATCCCCAGGAGGTTATCTAGTCTTTGAGGAAAGGTATCACATCTTATGCTCTATTTGCGTTCATTTCGTGCCTTCAGTTAGTTCTATTAGAAACAAAATCAGGCAGAGTCAATATTCTCTGGAATGGATCATGGCAATATAATTTTGTTCTTTTCCTAGGAAATTTGCTTGTGATTGTATTTGTAAGTTATTTTGGATCCAAACTACACAGACCAAAAATCATTGGAATCGGTTGTGTCATTATGGGAACTGGAAGTATTCTGACTGCTTTACCTCATTTCTTCATGGGATAGTAAGTGTTAAACCACTCTGTGCTGTTAATGGGCATTATCTTGTAAATTAATAATGTATTTTATTAATACAATGTCTTTTATAATACAATGTCTTTTATTTCCTCCTAATGTATGGTTCCACATTTTGAGATTAATCACTATGTACAGAAATGGGCACATCTTGTATGTAATAATTAACTTACCACTTTTTTACCATGGCATTCATACATTTGAATATGTATAAAATAAATAAATTTATTTATTCATAATAAATAAATAAATAAATTCTTTTTGACTTTTTGGCATAACAAATATAGTTCCTGCTTTTGCATCTAACATTTAAATTACCTTCAGTCAGACTCTCCCATCTGACCCTGCAGTATGAATTTTCCCACCGCAGTGAGTCAGCTCTTCCTGAGGTCACTGTGTAATTGTGATTAGAATCAGGTGCCCAGAGAGAAAACTCAAATAGCAATGTCTCATGTAGGATTGAAGCTTATCAAACATACTGTGAATAGCAATTCAAGGATGGCTTGATGCTGTTTCCTTTGATCTTTTTGCTCTGCTGTACACAGCCTTGGTCTCATGGTCCACAGTGTGTTAGTGTTCACCCAGGCAACAGGATATGCTAAGTAAAGAGCAAGGAAGAGCAGCCAAGTGCGCACATAGATGAGGCCAAAGGGATATTTCAGAAGTGTAATGTTGGCACAGCATCACAGGCCCAGAAAGACATTTTCCAGTCCCCTCTCCTCCTTTTATCCCATCTTTCCCTCCATGTTCACAAAGCCTTGTTTCCATTTTATCCTTTTTCTAATAGTTTTTCTGCCTTTTCTCTTATAGAGAAACCAACCTGCATCATGTGCAGGTGCAACTGCTCTATGAGGAATAAGATACCTAAAGCGTACCAGTAAACTTACTTCTAAAAAAAGAAAGACATTTTTGTCTGCCATGTCTCCACATAAAAATCTTAATTTCAATTCCTGTCAGAGGAAAGAACAACAAACATTGAGAAACAGTCAGCAATTTTGCCAGAAACAAGAAGTACTTGTTGACAAATTCAACACTTTTATCTTTTGCTATCATATTAACTCTGGCATTTTCAACATCCGACTCTCATGCAAATTCTCTTCTTTGTGGTACTTCTAATTTGTAATTGTAGCATAATATACTCTCTTGATTTATTTTCATCTTTGTGGCCTCTTTACAATGCTTATTTTTTTCTTTTTCTGATGGCACCATGATGTCAAGTGGCTGTCTCTGAAGATCCCCCATTCATCTCTCTCTGGTTTTTTTGTTTTTGTTTTTTTTTTTTTTTTTTTGGTAGTGGAGATCAAACGCAGGACCTCGTGCTTGTCAGGCAGGGCCTTACGCCACTGAGCTAAAACCCCAGCCCTCATCTCTTCCTTACTCTACATGATTTTAATGGAGTACGTGGTTTAGGCTATTCATGTACAGTGAAATTTTCTAAAATCTAAGATCTTTTTTTCCCACTGCCTTGTGTATATGTCCATCGTAACATCCCACAAACATTTTCCATGCATGTGCTCATAATCAAATTCCTCATTTTTCTAAGACCAGCTCAGATTTTTCACATTCACTTTTTAAGCAATGTTTTCTTTTAACCATGAAGGAACTGCAACAAAAATCAAATACCTCTGCCTGGATTCTCCATTTATTACCACAGAAAACTGGCAATCACCAGAGTCCTCCTTCTTCTGTCCTGCTTCTTAGCTTGATAATGTTTGTCATTGCTACTGGCCTTATCCTGGTTGAGACTTCAGGCATCTTTAAACATTTCTCCTCCAGTTTCCTTCTATTCTAACTCATATTCCATACAAAGTATACACTTAAATATACGAATAGCATTATTTTGCTCCAATTTAAAAATCCCAATTTCCAAAAGCAATTTTCAATCTTCAGATTCTAGACCATTTCTTAATAGGATAACAAATTAATTCAGATGGCCAAACCAAAAAGTTCTATTAAATATGATACAAGAAAATAATATACAATACAAGTAGGGATAAATGCTGTTCTGTGAATCTTTCAATTGATTGTACATATATTTGTGAGTGTGTGTGTGTAATTGTGGTTGGGATGGAAATTACATTTCTTACTATTATTATCATGAAAAATATCGAAAAGTCCCTTGCTTTATGGATTAATGTCTGAACTCATTAGTGCCTGCATCCTACTCATTAATTTAGTTCACAATTCCCTTGCTAATTTCATCTTCCAATGCTCCCCACAGTTGAGAACCACATTTGAAGGCTGTAGATGATCCAAAATGTCATGCTCCTTCTCGATGCATTGTCTTTGCACTCTCGAATACTTTCTCTCATCTTTCCATTTCTTAAATCCTGTCCACCACTGAGATTCATCTCACATCAACCTCATCATGAAATCTTCTTGAGCCTACCGCACTTCCTACCCTCAAGCAAAACCGATCATCCCTTTTTCCTTTGTGACAATTCAAGACTTTATGTATGAATATCAACTTTCATAGATTTTCATGTATGTTTGCCCTCATGTGAAATTCTTTAAGTGCAAAACTAGGTATTTTATTTCAAGTTTTTTGAAGTGGAGCCTAATGCGTGGTTGGAAGGTAGATTGCCACTGAAGCTACAGGGAACCTCAGGAATTTTGAATATCATCATTTATCATGATAAATGCTCTAACTCCACTTCTGTTAATCTCATTAATTAATTAAATTCTCCTTTATTAAATTTAAGTGGATTATAATTCCTTTATCTTGGAATTTGAAGAGTTAGATATTACAGTGTGTGTGTGTACCCATTAATAAAAGAAAATCAGATTGTTGATAGAAAATGCAAATGAATTGGGATGCATGATAGGTCTGTTTGGCGAATATTGCTCTAAAGTTTATTAAATCTAATTATAATTTATTTTAAACTTTAGATTGTGACCATCTTTGAATATAATTCAGAAGAAACAAATAGATAGAGTTAGCAGTTTAAGGAATAAAGCAGTGAAGCCAGAATATTTCATGCCAGAACTTGAATATAAACAATCGTAGGACACCAGCAGGGCAATAATCCACCCTACAAGGGGATATTTCTTAGTGGAAACTTCCATTTCACTTCATTCTATCACCTGTACTAAAACACAGGTTGGGTAATTGGTGTAAAGGAGTCTGGTAATTTGGAAATGAGAGAGGTACACATAACGGAAGAAAAGTCATTTATGTCCTGGATAATGAAAATATTCTGCAAATGAGGAAAACTTGAAACATAATGATATTCTTACAGTTACAGGTATTCTATAGAAACCCATATTAATACAACAGAGAATATAATAGCAACTTGTTCAGCTAATCAGACCACAGCACTGACTCCATCACCTGAGATAGCGGAAAAGGGTAAGAATTAACAATGATGAAAATATCCTAAAATTAATACATTTTATAAAATCGATGAAAATGATTGTGATTCTTAGTAAAAAAATTAAAGACCCAAATAAAAATATTTCATCTTCACACACTGATAAAATCATAGTGTTAATATATATTTTATGTAAAAAAATTTTCAGAAGTAGGTAAGAAGAGTGTAAGATTTCAGTAGATAATTGGCAAAGAATATATGCACTTAAAGCAGTGGGAACTGGCTTACATATGTATGAAAACCTGGTTTACATTAAAAATGTAAATTAACATACTACATAAACATTTCTTGATTTGTCATAAAACAAATTATAATTACAAAGAATAACACTGAAGATGTTGCTACTTTGTAGAGAAGATTAAGAGTAAAGAAATAATTAAAGAAAATTTTTAAAAGATAAAAAATGAAACAGATTTTACCTTTTTAGCATTTTGGAGTGTGATAAATGTGTAACTTTTCCTAGAGATTAATATTTTGTACATATTAATGGAAAGGTTTCTGCTTGCTTAACTCAGTCACTGCACTGAGTACATTAATCTCAAAGACATAATCAGGGATGTTCACAAATATTTATTTATAGTTATACAAAGCTATCTCCATGTATCAGAATGAAAAATTAGAAATGTTTTGCTATTTGAAAATACAAGAATTAATGAGATTGTGAAGCTGTTATTCAGCTCGATACTGTCCCCATTGAAATCCTGATGCAAAAAAACCAACATGGGGTAAGTAGAATAGAATGCAGTGTTCACTGTAAAAGTGGATTTTAATAGAAGCTGGATATTTAGGCATATAATGTTCAAACTTAATATCTTTCTTTGTTTCTTTCTTTTTTTTTTTTTTTGGCTGAGTTTCACAGTATGTTTCAGGCTGGTCTTGAACTCACTGTGTGGCCCAAGCTGGCTTCAAATTCGTAGGAGTCCTCCTACTTAACCTTCCAAATGCTGAGATTAGAGGAGTGAGCCACCTCACCTGGCTGAATGTCATGTATTGCTATGGACTCCAAAAATCTTAGATATATGTGACATTAGAAAGTATTTTTTCTGTTAGTGAGATTTCAGACAATTTTTCTTGCTTTGTAAAAAAAATTAAATGCTTATATACTTGATTCTATATTGTATTATATATGACTAAAGGAAATGTACATTGCTTGTAATTTATTTAACCATTTTATTAAAAAACTTTATGGCAACGTTAGTGGTACTTTAAATATCAGACAAAAATGCTAAGTTTTTTGTTTTTGGTCTTTTTCATTTTTACCGGTACCGGGGATCAAACTCATGACCACCTGCTTGCAAGGCAGGTGCTTATACCGCTGAGCTAAACCTCCAGCCCCAAATGCTAAGTTTTTGTTGTTGTTGTTGTTGCTTTTTATGTTTTTCTGTATGTGTAAACTCTGCAAAGTGAATGTGAGTCCCTTTTTTGGAAAAAAAATTAGGGATAAGTAATGATCAGAATTGCCTGAGTCTCTGATATGAATGCTGAAATTAATGTTTAAAATGAAACACTCTCTTGTCTGTGTAGGCTGTGAGAAGGAATCTGAGTCATACATGTGGATCTATGTTCTGATGGGGAACATGCTTCGTGGAATAGGGGAAACCCCTATCGCACCCCTGGGAATTTCTTATATTGATGACTTTGCTAAAGAACAATCCTCTGTTTATCTAGGTAATACACAGAAAATATTAAATCAAATGATTATTTGTCTGGTGTCTACCTTTGAAATCTTAATACTATTATTACTATCAGTATTAGTTATTCTATTAGGAAAAGTTGGGAAAATGTAATATGAAATGTTACTTTAGAAAACGTGTAATAAGAACTACATATTCTTGGTAACTAATAAAATTGTTTTGTGCTGTTTACAGGCATTTTACAAACAGTTTCTGTGCTCGGCATAATCTTTGCCTTTTTGATAGGAGCCGTATTTACTAAAATGTATGTGGATACTGGCTATGTAGATCTGAGTAAGTATGATCAGAACGAGGTAGCAGGGTGGAATCTTCCCAGTACTCGATATAATTCTACCAAATAGTTGAATTCATTCATTCAAAATAGTCTTTTGCTTACCATTTTTCAACAGTGACATTACAAAAAAAATGCATTAGTAATTCCAATAAAAATACAACTGAAGTCTTAATGTACTACATTTTTACAACTGAATATAAAGTAAGAGAATTGGAACAATCTTGTTTTAGGTTATTTGATCCAAATAAACTTAGCAGTGTCCTCCCTTAGAACTGACCACTTAGTCAAGTAAATTTCATTTTTTTGGTTGATTATGGTTTAGATGTTGGAATACAGAAATCACAGTTTGCTTTGCTAAAGCCACCATGAATTGCCTGATTGATGCCTGCAGTACTTTGAGGCCCTCTACTGTACACTTTGATTTTGGCCACTTATTCTGACCCTGTAAATATTCAATCAATTCTGTGGAGCCAATCTGTGAAAGAGTACGCGTATAATAATATCATGCTCCTCAACCACAGAACATGTTTTCTTTCATGATTCTGAGGAGAAATTGTGGTCCTTCCTGCAACAAATATACCTGTACCACATCAATGTCTATCTTTTTTCCCACCTGAGTGGAAAAGGTGTTCTTGTATCTCCAGGTGCTGTTAATGGATCCACCTGTGAATCAGATTCTTTCTGTTTCTTGGAAGATCTGGTCTCATCACCACTTGGCTGATCCATCCTTTATCTTTAACTCTCCATCCCCACCCACTCTGTCCTCAGGAAATACTCTCAGGTCTCTCTCTCTTTACATTATAAGACTTTTTGTATCCCCAGAAATTTTCTAACTGATTTTCTATGTCTCTAATTCTCTTCAAAGTCAAGCACTTTATAAAAACAATCCACATTAGTTGTTTCCCTTCTCACTATTGAGGTCCTTAGCATGTTTAAAAAGTAAGATTATTAATTCTTTTGCTTTGAGTTGTAGGAGTGCCATAGATAGATGGCTTGGAAATATTTGCTTCCACTCTGTAGCTTACTCCATCGTTCTGTTTATTCTTTCCTTTGCCGTACAACAGCTTTTTGGGTTAAGTCCCATTTGCCTATGTTTTGCTTTTCTTGTCTATGCTATTGGTGTAATAGTCATAAAGTCATTTGTAAGACGAGTGTTCTGAAACTTACACATCATTTTCTTCAGGGTGTTATATCATTTTGAGTTGATTTCCTGTATATAAGGCTTCAAATTCAATGTTGGCATATGATATCTAGGGGTTTTTTTTTTAGCTCTGTTTCTTTAGTGACTACCTTTTCACTATGGTGTATTCGTGGTCCTATTGTTGAAGATCAAATGGTTGTATACATGCCGATTAGTCTGGGCTCTCTATTCTGTTCCTTCAGTCTATATGCCTTTAATATACTACTATATCATACTAAGTATTATATCTTTAAAATATGTTTTAAAAGTGTGAGACTTCCATCTTTGCTCTTTCCCCAGACTATATGTTGGCTATTTGAGATATTTTGTGATTCCATATGAATACTGCAACTTTGCTTATATTGAAATGCTTTAGGGAGTTTGATAAGATTTGTATCTGTGTATTATTTACATAGTATAAATGTTGAACGTTACTAATCTTTGAATCCAAAACACAGTATAGCATTCAAATTGCATGCGGTTCCAGTTAATTTCATCAGTGCTTTGAAATTTTCATTGTACAATTTTTTCTTGTCTTTTATTTGTTCCTATTTTTATGTCATTGTCAGATTTCCCCATAATTTCCTTTTCAGATAGTTTTTGTTAGTATATAGAAATACAGCTGACTTTTAATGTGAATTTTACATAGTACAATGATTCAATTTGCTTTTTCAATCCTGTTTTTGTTGGAGTCTTTATATCTTTATATGGTTAAGCCATGTTTTCTGAAAATAGGTGCGATATTATTTTTTTTCTTTTCCATATGGATGCCATTTATTTATTTATTTACTTTTTCTTAACAATTCTATAATAATTTTTCTGTCAACAACTTTCAGGAATAAATTGAATAGACATTGTGAGAATAAATATCCTTGCCTTGTTCTTTGTATTAGTGCCAAACTCATCAATGTTTCATCCTTTATTTTATATCAGCTATGTGCTATTTATATAGGGCTTTCATTAGGTTGATTTAATTTCTTCTCTGTTCGTCAAATTATGGCACTGTTTACTATGAAAGTGTGTGTTTAATTTTATCAAATATTTTTCTGCATTTAATAAGATGCTCATGTGTAGCGCTTTCCATAAATTAATTCTCACAGGTTGAATGATCTTCTCATTGTAGGTTTAAAGCCTACTTATTCATGTTGTAATCCATCCACTTGTTTTGTTGTGCTATTAAATTTCATCTGATGGCATTTTGTTGAGAAATTTTACATCAATCTCTACAATCTCTGTTGTGTCTTTATCTCATTTGGCTATTGGGCAATATTGGCCACATAGAATAAGTTTCAGAGTATCTCATCCTCTCCAATTCTTTAGAAATGTGTGAGAATAGTTGATGTTAATTTTTCCTTAAATATTAAGTAGATTCTCCAATAAAGTCATTTACTTCTGGATACTTTTTTGTTAGAAGTTTTTTGATGACTGCTTCAGCGTCTTCACTAATTACAGATGTTTATAATTTTATTAATGCATGATTCAGTTTTGATATGTTGCATAATGATTACCAAACTTATTGACATAAATGTTCATAATAATGTCTTACTATCTTTTATCTGTTAGTTATCACAGCATCAGTCATGATGCCTTTCATTTTTAAATTTTATTTAATTGAATCTCTTCTCTTTCTTAGTATAGATAGTAATTTTACAATTTTCTTTGTCTTGAAAAAGTTATTAGTTTGTTTACATTTTTCTTAGTTTTTCATTGATTGTTTTCATATCTTCAATTTCATTTATATTTACTCTAAATGATGTCCTTTCTTTGGTTTGTCTTGAACCTAGCATATTATTTTTATAGTACTCTCAGATATAAATAAACTATTTGATATCATTCTTTTTATTAACTGAAAAGTTATATACATACTTTTTATTAGCACTTGAAAATCAAAATCATCTATATTGTAAATGCTGTTAGTGAACAAAAATTAAAGAAAATTATCTCTAAACCGTAGGTTACAGTGATGAAATTTACCCTACCAATGTAAGCATTCTTCACTTTAAACTTCCTGTAACACTATTCTTTCTATGTTCTACGTCTTGGTATATTATATTTTCAATTTTCAAAATGCTTCTTGGTTTCTCTTACATTTATTTAACCCATTGAATGCTCCATAGTATGAAGCATGTAGGATGTGGAATATATACACATCCACTTGTACCATGAAAAATAATATATAGTTGGATCATATGTTCTTCACATACCTATAAAGTCCAGTTGTAGTGTAGTTCAAACTCTTGTTTCTTTACAGACATTATCTCTAGTGAGTCTAGTCACAACCGCAAGTAGGGTATGAAAGTTTCCTATTACTACTGTATTTTTCTTTGTTTCTCATTTTACTTCTCTCAAAGTTTGCTTTACATATTCAAATACAGATATATGTTCATAAATATTGAATGTTGGTGAATTGATACCTGTATTATTGGAAAATATTTTCGAAACAGTTTTGACCTAATGTTTATTTTATGTGATTGTTATATCTCTACCCCTATTTTTTCTGGTTAGCACTTGTATTGGATATCTTCTAACCTGCTATTTTTAACCTGTACGTCCAATAAAACCTTGACTTGCAAGCACAATTCTGTCCAGAAGCAAGTTTGTAATCCAAAGTAATTTTATATCAAAGCAAATTTCCCCAGTAGAAATAATGGAAACTCAGATGATTCATTCTACAATCCAAAAATATTTATATAAGAATGATGACAATATTGTAATATAATACAAAGTATCAAAGAAAATATAAAATATAAAGAAAAGCAAATTAACCTGTGCTCACATTTGAAAATTTTCTTGACTGATGTGAGCAAGACAAGAGAGAGGAGAGATATTGTGTAGGACAACTTTCACCATCATTAATGAAATTACTGATGTCTATTGGCTCAATGGAATATTTCCCTCCTGATGCAACTTTTAACAAGCAACCTATCCAATGAGACTTGCTTTTGCCTTCTTTTGAGGATTTCGCAAAAATGTGACATTGCATTGTCATTAAACAGATTCATGGCTTTCACTGCTATAGCGTTATTGGATGATAGTTTTCTACAAAATTTTGCACTGTTTCCCACACTGTACATATCTCCCTGATATAGGGGAATGAAACTCCCAACCTGCTGTATGTCCAGTATGAGTTCGTGTTCTCTAAAATGGAAGAGTGAATTTTAAGAGTAATGAGTGTAAAGAGCAGAATATGTTTACTGAGGGAAGGAAAGCTTCTGTCTGAGAGAGAGACAGGTGTTCCCAGTAGGTTGCCAAAGACTCTGGCTTTTCTAGGGACTTTTATGGAGCAAAACCATGAAATGAGGCAGGTCTAAGGTGCAAAAAACATGGGACTCACAAGATGGGTATGATGTGGGACAAAGCTATGTCAGCCAATAAGATTACTTAGCCAGGTAAATTTGATTAACTTGTGGACAAATGGGAAAGCAAATCACATAACAAGTGGGCACGCATAAAGTGCAGTGACTTCCTGTAACAGGTTGGGATAGTGACTGCTGGCTTCCTCAGGGTGATAGAGACCTACTTATAATATCAATCTTTAGGATGTGAGTGTACTACTCCTAAGTATACTCCTAAGGATTGTTTGATCTTTGTCTTGAGCTCTGGCCCACAGTGGGAGGAGTCTGTCTCCTTCAAAATATCTAGTCTTTTGCATTGGCTCCTTTGAGGGCTGCTCTGTCTGACTACATTTCTGTCTGACTCAGTTGTCCATAACATCCCCAATCTCCATTGAAATGAGAGATTCCTCTAATTGTTCTCCTCTTTTGCAGATGAGTTCTCCTCTAAAGCCTTTTTGCTGTTGAGAGATCATCATCCACAACTATGCTGAGAGAGATAGAGAGAGACAGAGAGAAAATGATTCTCAGCTATGATCTATGATCTATGTGACATTCAGCATCACTTTTTACTTGCATTGCAACGTATTGCTTATTTGTTAAGTTAAAATAGATTAGAAATGTTTGATCATCTTGCAGAAGATTCAGAGAATAAGTTACTTGCAACCCAAGGTTTTTAAATCTGAGATGAGTCTCTTATAGACATCATGTAGTTATATCTTAATTTAGTCATTCCTTGGCTGCTGGTTGGGGAGCTAAATTCTTTTATATTTAAAGTAAATAATGAAAGGGATGGACGTATTTTTTTTTTGTTAGTTTCTCTTTGTATCATAGTGTTTTTGTGCTTTTCCTCTCTTGCTGTCTTTCTTTGTGATTTATTGATTGGGATCGATATCCTCTGATTCTTCCTTTTTGTAATTTCTAGATTTTTTTCTGAGTATCATGAGTTACCTAAAATATCTGAAGTGGTCTATTTTAAGTTGATAGTAACTTCATTTCAAATGCCTGTGAAAACAGTAGTCTTATTATTTCACATGCTATGTTAACGTGATAGCAATTTGCATCTATTTATATTGCATACCCATTAACATATTTTAGGTACATTATTTTAATGTTCTTGTCTTTTACTTACACATTAGCCTGAAAAGTGATTTACTCACCACCAATATAGTAAAATACTATGTATCTGTTTCTGTGTTTGGCATTACCAATGACTATTATATTGTCCCTCATTGTCCCTTTGTTTTAAGTTGAAGAATTCTCATTAACTTTTCTTGGAAAATAAGACTAATAATGGTGACCCTCCTCAACTTTTGTACAGAAAGCATGGTATGGCTTTCATTTTTGAAGCACTTGGTTTTGTGCATTTTTATTAGTATATGTTTATGGTGCATAATAGTTACCTTCATTTTAGAGAACTGGTACTTATCTATGTCATATTTTGATCATTTTCTGTTTCTTTACCCCTTTTCCCTCCTCTCACTTCCTCCTGAGGAGCAACTTTGGTGGCTGTCGTATTCTTGGTTGGTAGACTTTTTATTGCAGCATTTTGCATGCATAATCCCACTTCTTTCTGACTTCTAAGGTTTCCACTGAAAACTCACTCTGCCAAAAGTGTGAAATGTTATGAATGGGATCTAAAATGTCCCCCCCAAAAGGCTCATTCGAAGATGTGTCTTTGGAAAGCAAATGGATCATGAAGTCTCTAAGTTCATCAGTGTTTTAATCCATTGACGTATTCATAACTGGACAGAGAGAAATAGGATGAACAGAAGGGAGTGGGTCCCAGGATGCTCCTCTGTGGCTCTGTATCTTCTCTCAGCCCCTTCCTGTCTGGCTTTCTTTCCTTCCTACTTATCATAGCTTTGCTTCACCATGCTCTTCCACCATGATGTTTGTCTCATCACAAGCCTATAAAAATGAAACTCCAGCTAAACACCAACCAACCCCTGAGACCGTGAACCAAAACGAATCTTGCCTTCTTTGTTTTTCTTAAGTATTTTGTCATATCATGGAAAGCTGAACAGCACATAGAGGTTCTCTTGTGCAGGACCAATCCTTTCCCTCATTACTTTAAAAATGCATTTTCTTGGAGTTTTGATTCCATTGTGATAGGGTAATTTCTTGAATTCATCTCATTTGGGTACTTTTTGGATTACTGAATTTGGGTGTTCTTTTATTTGTACAGATTTGGGTGGTTTGCAGGTGTTATTATTTTTTAACAGTCTTTTGGAAACTTCTCTTTCTTCTGTTTCTGAAATTCCTGTAATGTGCACATCAGTCCCCTTGAGGATGTCCCATAAACCTTTTAAACTTTCTTCAATCATTTTGCTTGTCTGACTATGTCATTTCAATTTGGCCTGTTTTCAAGTTACTTACTATTTCTTTTGCTTGCTCTAGTCTGTTAGTCAATTTTTCAATTCAATTTTTCTGCATTCATGAGTTATTCCATTCTAAGAGAATAGTGTTAAAAAGAATGCTTTTTTTTTAAATTCTATTTGTGCTTTTTGTTTCTTCTTCTTCTAAGGTTGTTGAGCATTTTCAAGATGATTATTTTGACTTATCTGTCAGGTAATCCATACACCTCCATTGCACTCAGGGTGGTTTCTGAAATAAAATTTTGTTCCTTTACTTGCATTTTATTTCCCTGCTTCTGCATTTTCTTAGGCTCTTTGTGCTGGTATCTATAAGATAAAATAAATCATCAGTTCTACAATTCTTTGTTGACTGCCTTTTTTATAGGAGAATATTTCATCTATCAGCATAGCTAAAGATTCTGCACGCCTTAAAACTTCACTATTTTCCAAAATGCTGTATTTATTTTTAGGTACCCACAGTCCTCTGGTGTAATCAAGATCTCCTTAATACACCTAGATAGAATTTATGGCTTACACTTAGATGTTCCTCAAACCCACATGTACTTATAGGTGAAGCTTTTAGGAGCTGGCTTGATCATGGGTATACGACACTGGGATTAAAGCTGTATGATACTCTATTAGTAGATTAATTGGCTTAGCATAGTTCTGAATGTAGCCGACTGGATTTACTGAAGATAACATCCCTGCCCTGGGTGTGAATGGTACCAACCCACAGGCTTGTAGTCTGAATGGAATTAAATAGAAAGGGAGGCTGCTTCTGCCTCCTGGATGCCCTGCCATGCACTAGTCTTGCCCCTCTATTGTGCCACCTTGTCTGGAGCCAGATGACTATGGATTGAAACCTTTAGAAACTGTAAACCTTTCCTTATTTAACCTGTGAGTCCTGGGTATTTTATCCCAGCAATGAGAAAATAACTGAGGTAATACATAAGCTAGAAACCAGTCATTCGGTCAATTCTCACAAAAGTTTGAACATTCACCTGCCATTAAACTCTTTCTCCCCCAAGATGAAATCTGTAAGCTTGTGGTTTTCACCTCTTCACTCTTCCTAGATCTAGAGGAGAGGGGTTATATCAAGTGGTCTTGCAGTTACTTTACAGGACTACCTTTTTCTTCGTGGTCCCTATGACTCTAGCATATATATGCCTAGCCCCAAGACGGGCAAGACAGAAACCGATACCTTGAATAAGACCCAGAAAAGATGAAATGCTAGATTTGTGGTTCAACTCTTTCCTTCTCCATGGAGAAGCTATAAATTGGACTTGTTTATTTCTTTTTGCCTGCACACTGCACTAATCCCGTATGGTGAGAGCTTTGGTGAGCGCCCCGGCTCTACTTTGAACTGCCACATTTGTTCTTTGTAGGCCAGAGCCTGAGCCTGTTTTGGCTGTGTCACCGCTCTGATATGGGCGAGATGAAGTCAGTCTCTTAATGCACCCAGAAGAGTAGCAAGATGTCATGTGTACTCCGTGTCTTTCTCTCTGCATTCACCCTGTTTGCCAAAGAGAAAAGTGTAACAAATGTCTACACACAAGTTCAGCTTACTAGTTCTTCCTGATCCTCAGACACTGTGATAGGGCTTTCTACTTTGCAGTGGTTTTACAGTAGCTCTTTTTCTACCTTCTAGGGACAGTGGTACCTTTCAATTCTGGATTTCTCAAAAATGGAAATCATCTTTGCATTGCTGTTGAATCAGTGCCTTGATTGGGAGAATGGGGGTCTATAGCTTCCTTTCCTGCAAACTTGCTACAGTCTCATGTTTTCTTCTTTCAGAAAACTTAGAATTAACTTTATTCTTACTTAAATGACTCCTTTGTACTTGATATGCAGCACTGATGTAGCATTCTTCTGCATACTTTAAATACAAAAACCATTGAAATAAAATGGCCAAGTCAGTTCTATTACCTAGAGTCTAACTTTTTTGGATTCCCTTTAAGTGCAGATTTTCATTGTGTGTGTTATTCACCAGTTTCATGTTTTATACTGTCAAAGGAGTTATAGACATATGTTTCTGGGATGGGGAGGAGCCCTTTGGTTGGCTCTGAGAATATTTTGCAAACTGCTTTAAATTTTACTGCTGCTGCTTTCTTGGCCTCAGCAGTGGCACTAATAGGTGTTTTTAAAGAATGGTGAGGACCCAGACACTTTCCATATTTTGGAAATCTTTTTCAGGCTTAAAGGTCCAATGTTGGCAGTTCTCATTCATGTCATGGGAAAGGCCATCAAGTTTACATGAGCTCAGTCTCCGACAGTATTGCTATGACTGATTCTTAAACAGCAGCAATTAATTGTAAGATATCATCAAATGTTAATTTCAACCAATTTCCAAGATGACAAAATATAAAAAGAAGAAAATAGCATCTTTAAATTAACAAAATATAGTTTGTTACTTTTGTCTGTGGAGGACATAGACATATTGTATTTCAGTGATTTTTTTGACTGGCCTTTTGCTAATTATTTATTCTAGGCACTATCAGAATAACTTCCGAGGACTCCCGTTGGGTTGGTGCTTGGTGGCTTGGTTTCCTTATAGCTGGAGTACTCTCCTTTATTGCTTCCCTGCCATTCTTTTCCCTACCTCGAAATCCAACTGAACCACAGGAAGAAAGGAAAGTTTCAAAGGATTTGCATGAATTCAAAATAAGTGGAGAACAAAAACAAACCCATCATAGGCAACGTTCTGCTTTAAGTGTGACTGGTAAGTATTTTAAATTTATAGTGAATTTGTAATAGTTAATCCTAATAGAAAGGAAGATTGAGTATTTCAAAATAGTAACTCACATTGAAATCATCTGGAGTTGACTTCCTTGGGCACTACATGTAGCTGAATTATTTTTCTCAGCATCCTATTAAAATTAGTAAATTTTTACTTGACCATAAAACAAACTGAATAGGATAGGAACTGTGGTTTTTAGCATATATAAAACAGCCAAATACTAAAAAAAAACTGTGCTCTATGAAACAAACAGCATGTATTTGTTTCAAAATTATATAATATAGAATTCTGAGTTAAATAAACTCTAATATTTCATTCACTTATTCAATCAACATGGTACCATCATATACTCTAGTGATAAAATATGGTCTATGTTTTCCAAGAATTTTCTTGCTCCTGAGAATATAGAGACAATTGTAATTAACTGTTTTACCAATCATGGTTAGGTTAAATATAACAATTTTCAAGTGGAAATGGAATAAGCAGGAACTCAGGAGAAGTTCACCTCTAAGTAATTGAAGCAAAAGATTTTTTCTTGGCAATTTTGTTGAAGAAGTGTTTACAAAATGTTTCTAATTAAAGTGATAGCATGCTTGACTAGTCGGCGTCAGTTGTATGTATTATTTGATGGTGGCTTCTGTTTAAAATATAATCCCTTGGGGATAGTTGAAAAGCACTGGGAAGTAATAACCCAGAGAATAATGCAGCAGCCGCCAGACCAAACAGTGGAATGAGGAAGTGTGGACAGAAGTTTTCACACTGAAGGGGACTGGTGAAATAGCAAATGTTAAAGTCTTGCAATGCCTAAACCCTCAGCAACCTGAGGTTGGTATTGAGATGGTCTTAAAAATTATCAGTTATAATCCAAGTACTTCTCAGTTCTTCAGTTCACCAATGTCAGTGTTACGTTCTTCTCTGCATCACTTTAAACCAAGAACAGTGGTGTGTGGGAGCCATCGCATATTGGCTCCTGAAAGAGAACTGCTGTTTCCAGTTATGTCAGTGTGTTGTGTTGAAGTTGGCCACAGTAGGGGATTTTATCACCATCTACTATTGTGAAAACTGGGAAATACTATACGTATAGTATTGTTACCGCAGGTTGTTAAGTATTTACCAACACACCACTGACTTAGCAGTTTTTGAAATGTAACATGCACACTAATCATTGCATATCAAAAGTATTCATTTGATGTAAGCTATGTTTCCACTGCACCATATCAGATCCATAAACTAATGGATTGTTTAGGATGTCGTATTATTCTTTGTCATAGTGTCACTTAAGATGTGACATCACTGTGTACCGTCCTTGTGGCATCTTTAACAAAGTGATTTGCAATGCTGCCATATTTATTGGGGGGCAGAAAAAATGTATAAAGGCTACAGAATGTTTGAATCCTTGTACCCAATTGTTCTGTAAACATTTTAAACGTTAGTGTTCTTATTTCTGTCCATTTCAGATTATGCTCTAATTTAACTTTCTTTACATCATTCCATTAGTAGTACAGCAATGACTGAATGCTAAAAAATGAGACACATACATGTCAGATTCATTTTGTTTCCAGAACAATTAGCATAGTGTATACTATCCAACTAAACACCAAATATTTGTTGAATGAATAAATTTGTTAATTAATAAATATGAAACTTGTGGCAGAACACAAAGAATTGAAAATATTCAGTGAACAAGCAAGTTATAAAACAGTAGTTACGTAAGATTTCATTTGGGGGTAAAATCAACTAAACAAATACTAAGATATGTGTGGAAAACAGTGCTTTAATATATTTTAAAAATTTGTCAGTAGAACTTTCAGTTTATTTTCACTTCTGTGTTATGATTTGTATAATTTAAACTCTTATAACACAGGATTATTATTTGAATGTATATTTATGTCACCTTATAATAATCTCATTATTTTTATAATTTTAAGGTTTTTTGCAGTCCATGAAGTACCTCCTTACCAATCACCTATATGTGATATTTGTGCTTTTGACCTTGGTAGTATTCAGTAGCCACGTTGGTAGCTTTACTCATCTCTTCAAATATATAGAGCAACAGTATGGTTATTCAATATCGCAAGCTAACTTGTTAGGTAAGACATATTGTTTACCTGTTTTCTTGATAAATGTTGTATTACTAAATCATTATATTACAAGTGATATTTTACTGTGTATGTGATTTTATATTTCAGTAATTTTCACTTTTTTATTTCTCAAATCATATTAAATTTTGTCAAGCTTATGTACTATTATTGTTGTGCTTTTTCAGTTTCATTCCATGGTATAGAAATTTCTGAAGGAAAAGTTACATGTTGAGTACAGCATTCATGCATATCTGCATAATTAGATCTTAGAATTCAATACAGAGACAAATTGTTTGGTAATGTTAGCTTTATAGTTTTATAGTTCATCAGAACTCAGCTTCTTAAAAAAATGAAGCACTGATATTTTCAAAAGATGAATTTAACTGCATCATTCTGCACCACAATTTAACTGTACCATTCAAACATGACCCATTCAAGAGAAATGTCATAAAATAAAGAATATTTGATTCTAAAATACATATTTTCAGTGACACGTGGCGATCTGCTTACTTTATATATTTTTAATTTTTTTTATCTTTATTAAGATATTTTTTCAGAACATAAGGATTCCTTTCATCGTAGGAAGTTGGCACAGGTGTACAATACATCTCAATTTTTTCTCCTCCCCTTCTCTGCCCCTCTCTCCATCATTCTGAGACCTCCTTATTAAGAAAATAAGCAATATTGTTGTTGCAACTAAAACATTGTAGGTACTCAATAAATATATGAAGAATCAAAAATTAGCAAGTAGTATTTGGCTAGATCATAAGTCAAAAAAGTAAAGAAAAATTTGAGATTGAGTTTTCTAACACACTGTTTCAGATTTCTATATTGTACTATTATTAAATTTAGTTAAAAAGCTTAAACTGTAAAGGTTATATTTTGACTCCCAGTAGCTTATCTAGGATTTTTGTAATAGGGGAATTTTTCTCCTTAGTTGAGTCTTTCAGGAAGATGAAATGAAGAATTCAAAAAGGGGTTTAATCATCTTCAGTATATTATACAAACCAAATTATATGCATATATGTGTATTGCTGAGTAAGGAAGAGACATTAATTTAAGTATTCAACTCTGAAGCACTGGTCACATTTCAAATGGGTTTTTGAATTTTAGAACTCTTCATTTTGAAAACCATAAAGAATTTTAGATGAGAGTCTCAAAGTCTTATATGGAAAAATCAGGTGTGTTGTTATTACTTTTCAGAAAAATTTCTTCATAGAAATCATCTTATTTTGACACAATGGTTCTGTCATTGTCTTTTCCTATTGAGAAAACAAAATCCTAACCTTTGTAAGGAAAAAAAAATAGACAAGATCTTTATGTATTATAGGGTATCATTTATACCCTATAATACAGTGAATTCACTGTGTAGCCCAGGCTGGTCTCGAACTTGCAATGATCCTCCTGCCTCAGCCTCCCAAGTACTGGATTAGATGTATGTGCTAGCATGCCTAGTTGTATAGGACAGAATTATTTTTATGTCTCTCATATGATTCACTGGTCCCCTGTCTCCTGACACTGACACACTTCAGTAAAACAACTGAATAAATTGAGTTGATAAATGTTGTGTTCCATAGGTAAGACAAATCAGAAAAACTATATTTATGTAATTATGATTTTTTTTCTTCTTTTAATTCTAGGAGCCCTAACCATACCTATCATGGCAATTGGAACATTATTAGGAGGATATCTCATTAAAAAACTCAAAATGACGTTGATTGGAATTGCCAAGTTTTCATTTTTTGTTTCATTAATGGGCTTCATATGCCACCTGTCATTTTTTCTTGTAATGTGTGATCGCAAGTCTGTTGCCGGCTTAACTTTAGGCTATGATGGGTTTGTATATATTACTGTATAATATATTGTATATATTACTGTATCAATTACATATTATACTAACTCTTCATGAAAAGACTTTGAAAACAGGACAGAAAACAATTTTAATTAAACTTTCTTGTACTTGAGAGAAATGTCAATTTAAAAATGCCGAATTTGGGGGAGCTCTTAAATGCCCAATTTTTGGGATTTTTAAAATTTCTTCCTTAATGAAAAAATGTAAAATACTAAATATCATTTCTGGGATGTTTACAGTGATTCATGGCTACTTTTTGCCTGTTTTTTAGAAATAGGAAGTAAGGCTCAAAGTGATATGATTATGTTTTTTTAAATATTATCTCTTTAATTTGAGATTTTTTCACACTAAAATTGTTCTTTTAACCTCATAATCTTGTAATAATGTGACATTCTCCAAGATAGACTGAATAATATTTATCTACAGTTCACTATGATAGCTAGTAACAATTTTTATAAGAGAACTCTTCCTTACACTGTACTGCATTCTTATTTTCTGTAAGCTAAGATTGTTTATTTTGGTATAGTTTTCACTGTAAGTATAATTACCAAATATCCAGTTTTTGTAAAAGAAAGGTCTATGCTAATGTCGTTTGGAAAAGATATCATGCTTTTATCTCATACTATGGAGATAAAAATATACAATATATTAATTATTGTTACTCTCCTATTATCTTGTTTTGAAATTATTTTTCTCTTTAAAGTAATAATGAAAAAGATTTTCATAAAAGGAACAATTTCTAAAATGGATAATCAGATACTTAATTATATAAATGTTATATATTTTGAAATTTTGACCATATAACATAATTTTAGGACACACGTTATAGCTTGTAAGCATATAGAATTAGAAAGAAAATTCTTATAAAGCATAAGGTAGTTTCATTTTTGAAGTATATTTTTGTCTTTCTCTACTGATGTTTATTCTTGGTTTTTCAAAAATGGTCCTTAAAGTTTCTGGTTTGATCATGTTGAATTCTTCTCGTATGTGAGTAAAATATAGATTTTGAAATTCAACCTAGTTAGATAGCATTCACGAATTCACATGACTTTACAGTGAGCTTGGAGCAAAGTCACTCTGCTAGCTTTATCACACTTAAAAAGTGATTCTCAGGAAAATGGAGTGACTTAACTAATATGAATTTCCTGATAGAATTACTAAACTTTCTGGTCCATGGTTTCCTGTTATAAGTTTTGCTTTTTATAAATTATAAGTCACGTTGTGATAATGATGCAGGGCGAGAAGTGAATAGACATTAAACACTTCGCCAGTTGGCAACAGTACATTAAATTTCTCTAAAGATTCTAATATCTAATAAATTCTAATGTCTCTCCTCTTTTTCTCTTCTCTTTTCTATGTTCTTTTGTCTTCTCTCCCATCCTTCTTCTCTACCTGTCTTCTACTCACATCTTTCTTCCTTTATTTTTGATAAATCTATCATATATTTCCAGAGCTACTTCAGAATCGCCTCTCTTGGTCTTTATTTCTTTAACATACGTCTTTCATGTTTCCAGAATCAGCCCACTGACATCTCAGACAAATGCAACACTTTCTTACTGTAATCTGGACTGCAATTGTGATGAAAGTCAATGGGAGCCGATCTGTGGGGACAATGGAATGACTTACTTGTCACCTTGTCTAGCAGGATGTACATCTAGAGGTAGCAGTGAAAACTCTACTGTAAGTGTTAGTTTTATGTTCTTTCTTCTCCATAATCCACATTATATATTACATTACAATGACTTATAAAATATTTCTATGGTTAACGTGCCCAGTGAAATAATACAAGGAAAAGTTTCAATATTGTCTGTCATTGTGATGACTGTAATATCATATTACATGTGTACTGACAAAGCAGTCAGCACATTCATGATTTTGAATGTGGATTCTGATGAGTTTAGGCTCAGTATCCTTTTGATCTTTCAAGAAATAATCAAGTATGCATTGTCATATAACTGCCTAATTTTTGTCTTATAATTCTGATTTCTCCAATACTGGAATTTCTCCTTCCTAGGATAATTTAGCTTCTTGCTCACATCTTGCCAACATATCATTTTCTTCTTTACTCAAAACATTCCTTTCCACAAGAGCTTTGCATTCTCCCTAGTATCCTGGGTAACTCATAATAGCTGATTATTTATAGTGCTTCCCATGCCTCTTATCCACTCAACATCTCATAAATTTGGGAACCAATTTCCTGGATCCTTTTTCTATATCAACATGAGACACATTATCACCTATGATCATTAATCTCAGCCAATCCCTTTCCAAAGTTAATATTCAAACATTTCAATCTCTTGCTTATTCTGCTTGTTATACCATGGAAAAACAGTGTACTTTGAAGGGCAAAGCATCCTAGATTCTCTGACAGTGACCCAGTACTTTAACAAATGCACAATCATGATACAAAGACTGTACTTAAAAGTCCACACATTACATTCATGACTATTTTGCCCCCATTTAATGCTTGGTTTTTTTTTTTTTTCAATGATAAAGACCTAGGGAAGACATGATATTAGAATCCTCAAGAGATTTCTCTCTACCATGGGAACAATTTCTAAATAATTTGCATCTATTGTACAGTCATTTATGAAATCCTTAATAACAAACCATCATTTCTGTCATGAAGATATTTGTACCAGTGTATGGTATATTGGCCAATATGTTTCTTCCATTGTAAAGGGCTCCTCCATATTACTCCTAATTGGAAAAAGTAGTTTAGACAATACAACTTCATAGAATCATGGAAGTACAGATTCAAGTTATTTCTCAATTCTTCTTTTAGTAGTAGAAGTTAAAAAGAATTTATTAAAAGTACATATCTATGTAACCCATATGCCAGATTAACTTTCTAAAATCAGGTGTTCTTAAGCTTCCTTGTTTTGTTGTTCAGGATATTCAGTTGTGCTGAATTAGTTTTGTAATAGCAGCATCGATTGCATTTGTCATTATGCTCTTGGCTGTTATTTTTACTTGCCAAAATAAAATTCCAGCACATCGACCTGGTTCCATATTCCCTAGATATGTTTCTACTCTATGAGTATCTCTACTTGCAGAGGTTGACCTTTTCCAAAGTGTTGCATGGATGAATTTTCTGGATAATCCTTTCATAGGACCTGTCTGTGACGTTTGCTACAGACTGTTAAATGCAATGGGTAAGGGTATCATAGAAAGCAAAGTGGATGAAATAGAAGCACTAAAAAGAATTTATATAGTGTTTGCATAAAACAATTTATTCAGAGTTTCAAACATTAATTTCAATTATTTTCTAACTTTTAATCTAGAAATGAATGTAGTATTAATAATAAATTATATTTTCTTATCTAGAAAGGAATCCAGAAACTATTTTACCTTTCTGCCATTCAGAAACTGTATTTTTAGAATTTTTTAAAACTGCAAATATCTCAATTTCAATGAATGACACTTACTTGAAATGGAGGAATGTATTTAGAGCACTGTAATATTTTCTAAATATGTTCTGTAACATTTTAATAAATGTTTTGTAGATGTTCTACAACTGTAGTTGTCTTGAAATTTCTGGTTTCAAGAGCAAAAATTATTCTGCTCATTTGGGTGAATGTCCAAGAGATAATCATTGTAAAATGAAACTCTACATTTTTGGAAGTGTGCAAGCCTTGGATGCTTTTTTTGTTTCCTTGGGATCTGTTACATATATTATGTTGCTCGTGAAGTGAGTATGAAATTTCACTTGTATTAGACTACAACCTTACCTAATCATGTACATATTTTTCACAATATATTTGGGGCCCACACTCATATCTTCTTACATTTTGATTATCAGAGAATGCATCTTTTTAGGACTATTATAATGCTTTGATGCCACACTTAATAATAGTTTTCCATATGATTCCCTCTTTATGGAATTTGGATTTCATACTTGTGATTCTTGCTAACAGTTTTAAATCACAGGCGGAAAACTCCCTCAACTTGATTACGAGTTCACTATTGGCTAACAAACCACTCATTTTGTTACTTCATGGACATAGCTAGTTCCACATTAACATAAAACAGTATCTTCTCAAACGTACAAACTTTACTGCCAAATTGCAGGATAAGTTTCAAAAAACCATCTCGGTTCTGTTAGTTTACACTCAATAGGTTTTATCTTCTGAAGTTAAACTCTCATGAGAGTTTTAGAAAATACTCTGCTATCACTGGTGATAGTTACATTCATCATGCTAAGAAGTGATTATGATGAATTCATTCCTGGAAAGGACCATCGAAATCCTGAGTTGCTCAATAGCAGGTGTGAGATGGAGTCACACTGCAGTGCTAAATACTTATATGAGGACAACAGGTGCATGGGAATACACAAGTGTGTATGTGATTATGTGGGGTGGACATGAACATGTGGCTGGGTGTGGGTGTGCATGCATGTGAATGTAAGACTGTGTGATTGTTGTGGTTGTATGTGTGTCACTATATCACACACATCTACCATTTTCATTGAATTGCTGGTAAAGGTTTCAAGCCCCCTTCCAGGAAAATATGATCGACCTCATGTGCTCATCCTCCCAGTTTACCTGAATGCTGGTTCTCTCTGCATGGAAAGAGAAGATGATGGAAAATATCGATTTGTCTTTAGTGCTCCTAGTTTGTAACACAAGGGCACCCTTGGAAATCAGTAGCAGTGGAGATTGCATTTGTGAGAGAATTAAAGCTGGGCTGAACTGTGGTCTCTCCCTTAGTTTCCCTTGGGAAATGTTAAATTTTAGAGAGACATTTTGATGCAAATTTCAAATTAACATCACCTTCCTGCTGATTTCCCATCTCCCTTCTTACAGAATCCACCTCCTCACACTCAGGACCAATTTGTGCCCTCAGCTGAGAAAATACACTGCCCATTTACTTTCTTTCCTAAAGCATAAAGGTTCAGGTTCAGTGTTCAGGTTCAAAGTTCAGGTCTTTGTATTGGATTCTTTGTATTGATAGGGTAGGATATAAGCATTCTTCACCTCACTTAGCAAATAAGAAAACTGAGGCTAAGAGATGTTAAATGTCTTCTCTAAGTCACTTAGTTGATTCAAAACTTTGTCACTTTGTTGTCAAGAGTGAACAGAGCATCTTCCAGGAAGTCCTGCGTAAATGTTCTTTGAGTGTTCTAAAAACTTAGTTCTCTGAATAAATAGTCAACAAATTGTTCAAGGCAAATATGCTTTTTCTGAGCCACAGAGACTTCTCCCAGACCACCTCTTGTATTCCTGACTTGGGTTAGTGTTTATCATAGGACTAGTGTTGCCATTAACTCACTAAACACAGAGACAAATGGAATTGTGGAGATAACTCGCTAAAGAAAGAGTAAATTCTAAGTGAGAATACATATATGCTTTTGTCTTTAAATAGACAGTTGCATATACTGTGAGTATGTACATGTCTCAATAGAGTACATAATTCATATGACATACTAATAAACTTTTCTAGACATCAGTGGCAGAGTTAAGGTTGCAGAGGAGGTTACATAAACATCTGCTCCTTCCCTGTGGGTTTTGTCCACTGAATATCTCATGGGAGGTCAGTGTCTTCAGTGGCATCACAACACTGGTTGTAGTTATAGTCTCATAGAATTTTCATAAGAATCTAGTGTAAAAATGTTTGCTAAATTGTCTTAAAATTAAACCGTGCTGGGGGCTGGGGATTTAGCTCAGTGGCATAAGCACCTGCTTTGCAAGCAGGCAGTCATGAGTTCGATCCCTGGTACCGATAAAAAGGAAAAAGACAACAACAACAACAAAAAAATAAACTATGCTGAACAGGGAATAATTATCTTTGCCCAAATATATGTACTTCTTTTTATAAAAAATTGAAAATAATATTTTATAAAATGAGACTTTCACTTGGGATTTTGCACTCAGTCATGAAAAATTTGACATAAGAATGTTTGAATATTGAATTCAATTTGGTGTTTTAAATATATCTAATTTTTTTTGCCTTTGTCTTGTTTCAGGAATGTTTTACCTGAATTGAAATCACTTGCGATGGGGTTCCATTCTCTGATCATGAGAGGAATAGGTATTAAATTTTTAAATTTATTAAATCCAGGTTATAAATATCCATGCATTAGCTCAAAAACTGATTAAAATTAATTTCTGATTGCAAAAAAGCTTAAGAAAAGCACAAATGATGAGAATTTCTATTTTCATGGAAACTGACCTAAAAGAGAACTCAATCATTGATTCTAAAGTCAATCTGTTAAGACCAAGGAATCATTGCATTTGCATTGGTGTAATACATGGTGTAATACAAAGGTAGGCAGTCCCCAGAGATTTTTATTTAGGAATATTTATTCTAGGTAGGCAAAGTGATGGTCTTTGTTCTAAATTAAAACATTGTATGGGTAATATTAGAATTAAGTTGGAATTTGAAAGTTGAAGTTGTGAAAAACAAAAACTTATAGTACCTGCAAAGCTCTCCACTGCTAGGTCTTGTAAGGCTGAGTAGCTAGTCTTTATCAGAAATTAACAATGCAAAAGGGGAATCCAAACTCTTGGGATTAGGCATCTTGGATTAAGATAACATATAGATGAACAAAAGCTCAGAATGTTCTGAGATTTATTGGTCTAAGTACATTCCAGAATGGCAAAGAATAAATTCCAAATGGCCTATTTTTTAAAAATCAAGTGAACTGATTTTTTTCAGAGATGCAGGAAATCATCTTTTGTCACTTACCGCCATTTTTACCTCCAGCTGTTATTATCTTTTTTAAAACTCTAACTCTTTAGAGTATCCTTTTTTAAGGTTTACAAGTAACACATACTTATTCCTAGAAAAGGAGAATTCTTCATCTAGGGACTAGGCAGAGGCAACCACTGATGGTTAAAGGAAATGGCTGTGGGAGGGCCAGTTCTGAGGACCTCGGGAAATCAAAGAAAAAAGCATATATTGTGGCCAAATTATAATGGGAACCTTGCCAGGAAGTGTATTTGAGAAGAATGTCACAGATCCTCCCATGTGGAAAGGAGACATGTAGGGCTGGAAAAGATGGAGGAGCTGGAGATTCTGTCCCAGGCAGATTTCCCCAGCATTCTCTACTGTACAAACCCCTGGCAGCCTCTGTACCTGCTGGCTCTCCCTGCCTAGTGGAAGTGGCTCCCTGCTAGTACCACAGGAGCCAAAGAAGTCGAAAAAAAGAGTTTGGATGGTTAGTACTCCTTGGTGTATACTGAAGTGAGAATCTCAGGACAGAGTAATTCTTTTTTGCGGGGAGGGGGGGTGCGTACTGGGGATCAAACTCACAACCTGGCACTTGCCAGGCAGGCACTTATGCCATCGAGCTAAATCCCGGGCCCCTAGAAGCAATTCTTTTATCACATAAAATAGGAAAACTAAGGTTAGCAATCCTAATTGTAAAATTGTAATTTGCCATTGTGTTTGTATCTGATTATGCCTTATATGGTTCAGTGAAAACTAAATGACCCTATGAGAAAAAAATACACAACAGGTATCAAACTTGTAACTGATAAATAATGGTCTTAAACAAAATACAGGTTTAAATTTGAAAGGCCTATTTAGTGTATAAATAAAAAGTATATGCTGAGCATGGTGAAACTGTTTGTAATCCCAGCACTCAGGAGGCTGAGACAGAAGGATTGCCATAAATTCCAGGCAACTCTGGGCTACATAATGAGTTCAAGACCAGCCTGAATTAAAAAGTAAGACCCCGTGTCAAAAAAAGTCTAGAAAATAAGTTATTAGAAGATTTTAGATTCTAATGCTGATTAAAAGCAAGTACTTCTTTTTTCTGAAACTTTGGATTTATATGCTTGTGTTAATGGCATTAGGTGTGGTACATGCTTTGCATCTTCCATAGGGTGGCTGCAGTTTTTCCAAACCTGCAAATTTTTTGCCCATTTTCTCAAAAGGACTTTTCCTCAGGTAGCTTGTCTTTAGATACTAGCCATTTATCATTTTAAAATTTCCTCTATCGTTAATTAGAGACTGATTCAAAGTAATGAAATCAGTAAAGATATGATGTATGAACCATTGTTAATTCATGATAAAATTCTAGAAATCATTCACCAAAATTTTAAAAAATGTAAAATCTACATTATTTAGTGCAATTATCTGAATAATCTCTACTAGCATGTTCCACAAAATTTTTGTCAAATTACTGATGCTTATGTCTTACATCTGACCTTAGGTCTTACATCAGTTTCAGGGTTTTTTAAAATGGCAATGAGAACAGATGGACGTTTTGGTTATAGACAACGTATGTGTTCCTCACATACCTTGTATTTTACAAAATCATTCACTGCAGTTAAACTTGATTAGAATCATGCCGATGAAGACATATGCATCTTTGTGATCAGAATTCAAACAGAAATATAATCTAACAACACAACTCTAACTTGGACTGCCTAGACCACTTCAGGAGTTATTTAAAATGCACAAAATCAAGGGGGAAAGAGTACTATTTTGTGGGCTTTCATGACCACACAAAAGAGAAAGTGGAGCTTTGGGCCTAGAAATGAGGACAATATGGCAGAATCTGGACTCTGAGAAGCTGGGCCCTGCGATCCTGGGGAGGAAGCCCTGGTGTAAGCCCAACTTTTTAAAATTTTCTTAAAATAGAATTAAAAGAACTCCTGATTTTGAAGCAGTTGAGCAGAATGCTTTTCCCATTCCTAATACATCATAACTCTACTCTCTGTATTCCAGCTATTTTTTTCTGAGAAAAATTACATATGAGCCAGTTTATAACTCCCATATTTTACTAATAGCATTGTCCATTTACTTGTTAGAGTTCAGCTAATCAGTGTTACGGGAAGATCAACAGACTCAAAATGTGCCTTTTTCCTACATGTGTAGGAAGGGTGAAGGCAGATAAAAACATATCTCTGACCTTGCTATATTGTGTGACTCTGAGATTTCTAATAATCTTGAGTTTTGTATATATTTAGGACAAAGGAAGAAGCTTCCAAAATGCTCAGCTCTTCTCACTGTAGTATGTCAGTATAGAAGGTTTGCCAGTCACATTTGAAATGTTTTCCTTGGAGTATTAGCTTCTCATCTTGTATTACAGGAGGGCTTCTAGCTCCAATATACTTTGGGACCATGATTGACAGAACATGCATGAAGTGGTCCACCACAGGCTGTGGAGCACGAGGAGCCTGTAGGATCTATGATTCAAAGTCATTTGGGTAAGTTGTCATATATGTATTTCATTAGTTTATTTTTCCTTTGACTGGATTATGTATTAATTCTCAAAAGATAACATTTTCAATAGAATTCAGTATTATACCAAACAATCTGTCATCTTCATATTCATAGAGACTGCAGGAAATTAATGTTTTATCTTTTACTCTTAAATATGAATAAGTTAAGATCCACGTGTAACAAACAATTTTTCCAAGTTCATATAGCTAAAAGTGAAAGAGCTAGGATTTTGCTCAAATCTTTTTTGTTTCTAAACATTTTCTTCATACCAAAAAGCTTTCATTGTCATTTTTGTAAGGAACCAAGATCTGTATATGTAGGCTTCTATTTCTTATGGCTCCTCTAACAAGGTGTATGCACTCTGATTACAAAGCACTGTATTTTAAATTGTTTAAAGTGTGTTACATTAAGAAAGGTTGCCATTAAATTAATCTCCCTTAAAATACTCTCCCTTGCTTCCAATACACTTATCTCATCATCCTGTCACTTTCAGAAGCAGTTCTGGAAATTCTCATTCTGCATCTGTAATTCACTCATTGTGTCTGCCCCAGTGCCTTGAGCCCATATTTTTATTTCAATCTTATATTAAAGTGCATATTTACGTGTTATAGAATTTCAAACTGACAATTGTTTTCACTTGACACATGAAGCCATCATTGTATTGTTTTTCAATTTTCGTTTTCTGTTACTAAGTTAGCTGCTGTCTATTTCTCTTATTCTTCTAAGGTAATTGATCTTTTCCATGTAAGTTCTTTAAATAAATATCTTCATTTACTTTTAGTATTCAGCAGCTTCACCATGAAGTACTTAAGTGTGGGTTTTTTATTTATTTTGACTTAGAATCAGTGAACCTCTGAAATCTGTGGATTGATATCTGTGTTGTGCACAAAATTACTCCCCTGAAGATTACCTGTGTCATAAACCCTGAAACTGAGAATTCTCTGTTAAGTTTTGAGGCAGAATAAAGTTGCTAATCAGCTGACCTCCAGACCAGAAGATTATCCTTTAGAGTCTAATGTCACAATAGGATCTTTAAAAAGAGGAGAGGAAGGCAGAAGACAGGTCAGAGTGATGTGATGTGATGTGAGAAAGACTCTGGCCATTGTTCCTTGCTTTGAAGATGGAAAGGGTCAGGAACCTCGGGATGCAGCTTAGAATTTGCATTCTGTTCCATTACTGTTGAATGAAGCAGTTTATAGATGTTTCCTGTAGTCTGTAAATTGATAATACTATTGAATCCAGCTGTGTCCTTACTTATGTTTGCACACTTGCTATGTCCATTTCTAAATCACCAACCATAGCTGTGCATTCATCTATTTCTCTTTGAAGTTCTATCAGTTTTTCTTTACATGATTTGATGCTTGCTTTTAAGGCACCTTACAGTAAGGATTGCTATGTCTTCTTAAATGATAACAAGAGAATTGTCTGTCTTTGTCTGTCACTCTCTAAGGTTTTTTTTAAAGTCCCTCATTGCTATTTGGTTTGAAGTGTGCTCTGTTTGAAATTAATATGGCCATTCTCACTTTATTTTCTTAGCATTAGCTGCGACAACTCAATCCACTTTCCCCACTTTGTACGAGTCTATCTTTAAAAGTGGGTCTTGTGTAGACGCTTACAGTTTGGTCTTGTTTTCTTCATCTTCTAACAATTTTGATCTTTCCTTGGTACACTTACATCACTGAAATTCAAAATGGTTACTGATATAGTTGGATTAATATCTATGACACGTTTTACTTTTTTCTATGTGTTGCTATTTGTTCATATTTTATCTTCAACTCTTTTTCTACCTGTAGTAGTTTTAATGAAGAATTATATATAATTCCATTTTTCTTTGTTGGCATATGTTAGTAAACAATTTTACAAAATTTCAGTGCTTTGCCCTGTGTTTTGCACTGTATCCTTATAACTAATCTAATTTACTTTCCTGTATTGTAGCGCTTATTTACAATAACATTTAACCATAATTCTTATTTTCTGTCTCTCTTCTGATTGCCGTCACTTATTTTATGTATATATATTCAAAAACATATTAACATGTATGTATAACCAAAATCATCATTGCGATTATTTTGAACTCATATCCTAGGTACATTATGAATACAAAATTAAAAGGTTTTCTTTTACTTTTATTTATTCCTTTTATAGTATTTTACTTTGTATAGAACCAAGTTTCTCATTTACAGAGGATACTTGATATATGATGGAGTTATGCACAGATAAAATGCATTATAAATTGAAAATAGTGTTAGCTGAAAATATTTAATACACCTAAGTTAGCGTGCTAAGCATCATAGCTTTGAGAAGCTCACCTTAAAAATGCTAAGAACACTTAGACAACAACTGAGAAAAACCTTGTAAAATCAAGCCAATTTCATAGAAAATTGTTTAGCATCTAGTGCACATACGCAGAGAAGCTACAGCTAATCATACCATTTTCAAACTACAGTCCAGGATCCCAAGAGAGTGTCATACCACTTACCACTAGCCAAAAAACTCAAAATTTAAAGCTTCTATGGAATGCATATTTCTTTAGCATCATTGTAAAGGTGAAAAATTGTCAATCAGACTACCATAAATTGAGAGGCATTGATATAAAATTTTCCTTCTAATTAAAGAACTTCACTTAACATTTTAATATTTGTTTGTCAGCCAGAAATGTGCCTTTTCTTTCTTTCTTTCTTGCTTGCTTTTTTCTGTCTTTTAAACAGTATCTCACTATATTGCCCAGGCTGATCTCAAACTTTTGGGTTAAAGCGATCCTCCTGTATCAGCCTCCCCTACAGCTAAAATGACAAAAGTGCACCATTGTCCCTGGCTTTATGCTTCACTTTAAAGGATAATTTCATAGGACACAGAAAGTTTTATGTCTGTTTTTTTTTTTCTCTCCACCCTGAAAAAGTTTCACTTCTTCCTCTTATTTCTGAAGAGAAGGAAGATAAATGTGGCCTTTTGCTTCTCTTTAAGTAACACCTCCTGCCTTTGATTTCTTGCAGGATGTTTTTATTTTTTATTTTCTCTATACTGAAAGCAATGTAATTACCTATATTTTGGCATTTATTCTTCTTTGTGTTCACTGAGTGTAGTAGATAAGTAATTTAATGGTTGGTAGGAATTTAGGGACAATTATTAGATACTATTATTTTGAATTTCTTACCATTTCTTTCTAGTGTTCAGATGACACATACATTTCTAGTTCTTTCAGAGTTCCTGAATATTCTGGGTTTTTTTCCAATCTTTTTCTCCTTGCTTTTCAATTTTGAAATTGTTGAGATATTTGGAAGTCAGATTCTTTCTTGCTTGAGTTCCGTCCTGTCTCTTGAATCTGTGAAGGTCAACTGACACTTTTTCATAGAACTACTGACCGCTAGCCTTTCTCTTTGGCTCTCTCAAGATTTCCATCACTCTGCTAACTTTGCCCACCAGTTCTTGTATGCTGCTTATGTTATGCATTAGATCTCTTGGTACATTAATCACAGTTGTTTCAGATTTCCATTCTGGTAATACCAGCATCACGTCTCAGTCTGACTTTTAGGCTTTCTCATTGACTTAATTTTTTTTTCATGATATGTTTCAGATGCACATAATATCATTCATCATAGAAAATTCTCTCAATTTTTTTTTTTGCTTTTTACAATGACTTCTGGTTTCTTATTGAAGGCAGATGCAAAGATCTGTAAACCCAAGTCACTGCCATAAATAATTCTTTCAGAATGTGGTATAAGGTGTAGGAGGAGGGGCAGTATTCTATCATCTTATTATTAAGCCCTGGTACTTTAGGGGATCTATGTATATAGACTATAAATTTAAAGCCCATGTCTTAGTTGCTCCCCACTCTTTTAGGTGGGCAGGATGGTATGAGGAGGATGAATTTGGGTGTTTCCTTTCTTTCATGAAGAAGTCTATGGACAACCAAAATTGGGATTTCCTGTCTTCATAAGCCTTTAAATGTAATCAGAAGCTCTCTATGTCTAAATGAAAAGTATAACTAGGATTGTTACCTTTATGTTTTTATTTATAATTTCAATTTTTCTTTAAAAGCTGGATACTTTGCATAAATATTGTAAGTTATACATGATGTAAAATATAATCTCTTTTTTTCTTTCTTTTCATAGAACTACTTTGTTGGGCTTGGCTGGTATCTTGAAATTTCTAGCACTTATTCTGTATATTGTATTAATTTATGCCATGAAGAAAAAATATGAAGGAAAAGATTTTAAGGCATTGGAAAAAGAAGGAAATATCAAGGATGAGGCAAAATTAGAATTTTTAAGCAGCAATGGACATTCTGCACCTTCTCGTTCAGTATACAATGACACAAATATTTAAGGCAACAAAAAGATACAACAGTGCAATAGTGAAGGAATAGGGTGTCATTCTTCCATTCCTGGTCAATTCTGTAAGACTCACTACACTCTACATATGATGGAATGATGAATAAGCCTATGAATATGCAATCAAACAAATAAAAACATAAAGAATGGAGTAGTCATTGTTAGGATATAGCTAAGTGAGTAATATTGAAAAAAATATGATCCAAAGAAATTGAGAGTCGAGGCCTATTGAGAGTCGAGAGTTTCTGATTACATTTAAAGTTAGGCTATAACAAAAGAAAAACTATTTGCTAGGGCGATCACAGCTTTTACAGAATCTATTATCTAGAAATTAGATAGAGATGAAAAAGAGGAGAGAAATTAATCGTCCAAATAATGAGAAAAGTCTGATGTCTTGAAAAAAAAGAAGACTAGAAAAAAAGGAAAAAGGAAAAGGTGAAGAAAAGAAGAGAAAACAGAAAAGAAAAAAAACAAAAGAAAAGGAAAAGGAAAGAAAGAAATGGATGATGTTACTCACTCCTGATGTATCCTCTTATGGGGATTTATGGGATCTTGACTTGCATTGTTTATGTTGTCATATATTTTACAGACTTTATTAATGTAAAATTTGAAATTGATTTTGCAATTTGGATGTATCTTCTTTCCACCTTCCATTAAAATAGTGCTAAATAAATTGAGATATTAAAATACTGGCAAGCTATGATTATCAGAAAAATGTCACAGAAGATAAGATTCTATCAGACTCACAGAAACAGATTGAGACAAATCTACTTTGACTTGAGAAAGTAAAGGCCATTCCATAGATACAGTTTTATTTTACCTATCCTCCAGAAGAAATGAGGTATGTTATCTATCAGATCTCATCATTCCATGAAGGTTTTTTGTTTATTTATTTGTGTTGGTGTACAAAAAGATATTTTCCTCTATTAGCTGTATCTTCTCTATCAGGACAAGGAGAATAAATAAAAACAAACACTTGGATATTGTACTTTCTTTTGGAATTGGGGGCATTACAAAAATGTTAGAATTATAGTTTTAAAATTCTCTTTGCTGGGGCTGGGGATTTAGCTCAGCGGCATAAGCACCTGCCTTGCAAGCAAGTGGTCGTGAGTTCGATCTCCGGTACCGATAAAAAGAAACAAGAAAAAAAAAAAAAAAACAGTGTAAAAAAATTCTCATTGGTAAAAATGGTTTTTGTTTGCTTGTATTAGAGTCACTTGTGAAATTGAAAAAAAAAACAATTTTAATCATAGATCCAGAAAAATTTGAAACCTTGGCAATGCAGTCTGGAAATATCTTTACAATTTCCAAAGGCGATATAGGAGCCTTTGATAGAACACAAAACACATGTCAAGAGAAGTAAACTCTGAGTATAGAAAAGTAAAAAATGCTTGCCAGAAATTAGTAATTGGCTTGGAAATTATATACAGTGGTCTGTTTTCAAGGCATAGATCTGAGAAAAGATCTATTAAGAAGAAATTGGGGGGGGGGAATGACTCACACGCCTGATTTGTGGGTGCCACATAACAAATTTTGTGGTAAGTCGGTGGGTGCAGTTATAAGAGTCACTGAAAAATAAATAGAAAAATTATGGAGCTATTTCTAAAATATTGCAAAGAAAATGAAGGCAATGTCTTTAATATTTACTTAATAGTTTATGAGTATCAATTATAAGAATATAGAATATGAGATAAAAATGTAAAATGACTGCTTTACTAGCATACACTTGAAAAGAAGGGATACATATTTAAAAAATTAAACTACAAAATTTTATAAATTAGGAAGATACATGTACATTTATAAATGAAATATATAAAGAAAAGATGGGCAGTAAAAATATACTTTGGTTTAATGAACTACAGAATCCAAGAATTTAGAGTAAATTATAATCATTAATCAAAAGCCATTTTTGAAAATAGAAATATAATTATTGGAGGAAAATACCACTAATTCAACAGAAAAATAAATAAGATAGGAAAAGTTTTCTAGGAAATGAAAGAAGACTATAAAATTTCCACTGGATACAATGAAGACAGTGACCAAAAAAAAAAAAAAAAAAAAAAAAATCAGAACATTGATGAGGAAATTACATAAAGCCACCAACCTTAGAGGCAAAATTGGCAAAATCTCTTAATTGGCAAAATTTATTACTTGGAGAAGTCTTTGAACTAACTCCTAAGGTCTTTTCCCCTTCTTTTTTTGAAAACCAAATAAATACAGGCTGCTGAGCAAAGTTCTTTGTCTCAACCCCTAGGGAACCTCAAATTCCACTGGAGACCTATTGACCTTCTTGGAACTCTAAAAATCTTATCATTTGTCTCTTTTATTTAAGCCATGTGTCATCCACTTGTCTAAGAGACTGGGTCTGGATCAAGACCCTGATACAATGTATCTCTTACTATAATAAAACTTTAATTTCAACATCTACTGATTTCATCAGACCTTATATGACTGAAGCCTATGATATGTTTCTACAGTGATCCCTTGGTTCACAAACTTGTCTCTTTGCATGATTCTGTTGGCAAACCAAGTTGGATGAGAACCACATCAAATTCAGTGGTAAGGGTCACTGGTGACCTTTCAGGGGAAAATTGATTCACTTCTTGCTCAGTTTGCTGTGCAATCAGATAATGGGAAGAATAGAAATAGTAGAAGGTACCCTTTGTATGTAAATAAACTCATTGCTTTCATCATTCTCAAGAGCAGTTTTAAGTTAATAACTAGGTTATGTATGCAGTAACTGGTGATTGAGGCTAAAATATGGATTTCTTTGTTCACACGGGTCAAAACTGTATACATAGAAGGAACTACATTTACTGCTGTTTCTAGATTCTATCTCTCAGGATGATACTGGTAACCTCCAAATTGAGTTCACTATTTCCCAGTTTTTTTTTTTAGTGGATAAACTTAAGGATTAATACTATATCCTAAACCTCCACGATACTGTCAGAGTTTAACAAACCTCTAATAATGAATAATAAGTGATTTTGATGTTGTTTTTTTGTACTTTTAGAAAGCACATTCTCAAAAAGTTGATAAATTAAAATATATTAAATACCAAAAAAAAAAAACCCTAGAAAATGATAAAATGAAATCTCTGAAAATGTGGAAGAGAAAAACAAGGAGGTAAATCAAGAAAGAAAGATTTAGAGAGTGTAATGATTGATCTACTGTGTAAATTTGAGAAGTTTAGAAATTTAACTAAGAGACTCCACAAGGAGTCAGGATCCTTATTTTGTAAACATCCTCAACCTGTGAAAGCGAGGGACACAGAGAGAGTGAGAGCGCTTCATGTTCCCTGGGGGACTGGGGTGTTGTATCGGGGGTAGCCTACTTAAGAGGGAGGAAGAGGTTTGATACCCCCATTTTTCTCCTGCTTTTGCTGGCTACTGCCTTGAAGCATTGCCGCTGTGTCATGCCACCCTGCCTTGCAGCCAGCTGATTATGGACTGAAACCTCCAAAAACAGTGAACTAAATAAACCTTCTTTCCTTAATTTTCAGTGTTGGGTATTTTGTTCTAGCAACAAGGGAAAAGTAACCGAGTCAGAAACGAAGTTAAAAATTCTGATATTTCTAAGATAGAAATCGAAAATGGAAAAGAAGTGTTAATCAAAGACATAATGGAGAGCAGCTTCCCACTATGGAGAAAGATGAGCTTACAGGCTGGAGTCTCTTCACTTGTGCCATATTGCACACCTTCACTCTTTTGACTATGTTTTTCTTTTTCTCTTGATGTGCTCTTTCTTTTCCTTCCCTAACTCCAACTCAGTGCAGATCAGCTTTTCTTGTACATTTGTAATATGATTTCTTGTTAAATTTTTCTCGCTGTAAATGCAGCAATGTATAACTTTTCCCTTTTATTCTGTCACCTAAGAATAATCTGGCTCTTGTCACCCTTCCAGTTGCAGGCAATTGGAGAAAGGACAGCTTCTCTGTTCTGATTAAGGTCATTCTTAACAAGCTCTTAAAACTGGTCTTGGTGATGACCTGACCTCACTCATGAGTGCAGTTTTTCTTCCTTGTTTGCTTTCTGAGTCCCAGAAGTTTCCATCAGTATTTTCCCTCTGCAGTTTTCATTGCACTTCCCCCATGGAAATAGAGACTTTGTTCCTTAGAAAAGAAGCAGAGATTGCTCTTGAGCAAATCTTGAACAGTTCTTCCTTTGTTCTCAGGCTTTTGGCAGCAGTAGAAGTCTCAAGATTCTTGCTAATCTGCCCAGAGACTTCCTGGTAGGGATCTGGGAGGAATCAGAGTTGAGCATTTTCAATATTTATATCCGCATTGTCAGGGTCTTAACTTTCTCATGCTTAAATTTCTCATACATAAACTTTAGAAGTTCAGTAAAAGCTTCTAGTTGAGTTGTTTTATGACTTATATGGCACTGGTTCTATTTTGCTATATTAATTTGTTTTCTATTACTGTAGAAAAGCACTTGAGGCTAGAAACATTATAAAGAAAAGAGGTTTTTGTAGTTCACAGTTTTAAAGGTGAAAATGTTTGCAAGACCCATTTATCTGGGTTCTAGTGAAGCGCTCATGGCAGGTGACATTAGAATGGTAGGAGTACAAGAAAGACAGGAAGCCAAAGGTACCTAGAAGTCAGGTGTGCCCTTTTCATAGAAACCCATTCTTCCATAAATTAGCCAGAGTATCACAAGTACTACTTCAATCCCTTCTGATAGCATCATCCTCAATGGCCTAAATACTTTGCATCAATCCCAGTCTCTTAAAGATCTCACCACGTGTGAAGATCACCATGCAGAGGACCAAAATCTCAACACTCAAACGTTCTGGTGACAAGCTATCACCAAATTATGTCATGTCTCAATTAAGTGAATGTTAAAATCCTGTTTCTGTCCAAAGATCTCTCCAGATTTCTGGTTAGCTGTTTTCTCAATAAAGCTAATTGATTGCCAAAATCAAGAAAGTTCATGAGTCTCATATTAGTCTTTCTTTTTTTCTTAAATGTGTTGGTAAGATATCCCCATTTTCTGCATATGAAACCAGAAATCTCATATTTATTCCTTTGACATAATATTGAATGTCTTGCCACCAATTTTATGAATTTTCAAAACCAGTTAAATTATTTGATGGTACCTATTTTTTTCTCTCAACTATTTATAGTCTATAGGTTCTCTAATAACTAACAAAGGAGTGTTCAGTAGATAATTCTGTTCATCATTGTAAAATATCTTTCCTAAAGAAACTCATTCACAGGTTTATGTTATCAGGCAAAAAGACTGTTTTCCTTAACAACTTCCTCCTACCTTCTTAATTGAATTTTAAAAGACTAGAATTTTTTAAAGTCTGGTTTTAATAACTATGTTTTTTTATTCAAAGATTTCTCCCTGTCTCTTACACATACAGGGATATAGTGATATCTTCCTAGTAATAGAGATCATAGTTTTAATGTGACCAGTAAATCAGTAGGGAGTCTCTAACCATGGATACAATATTAGAAATGACTCCATTAAGAATGAAGATGAAAGAGGAGGTGCAGTTTTTTTTTCTTTTTCCTTTTTAGCGGTACCAGGGATCGAACTCACAACTGCCTGCTTGCAAGGCAGACGCTTATGCCGCTGAGCTAAATCCCCAGACCCCTGGAGGTGCAGTTTTGCAAATATACCTGATATTTTGAATAACTACCATAACACCTCCAGGGTCTCAAATTTGTAGACGTTATTAAATATACACTACACTGTATCTGCAAGTGGTTGTATCCTTAGTCTGAAGAAAGCTTGCAGAATTATGAAAAGAATGAGGTTTTCTATTGGGAAAAGTGGTTATCCATGAGCAAAAGAAGGAAACTAGATCCGTGTCTGTCACTCTATGCTAAAATAAAATAAAAATGATTCAAAATAGTATGAAAACATTACACAGAAATGATAAAATAATTCTAGAAGTGCTTAAAGGAAACAGAGAAAACACTTAAATCCATAAGCACAAGCAACACAACTCAAATAGCATAAGAAATAATACCA